CTTTAGATGTTTTAAGGTAATGGCATTGTGAATATAGTCTGTTTTTTTGAGCAAAGTTTTATTGGAATAAAGGTAGCATTATTTATTAATACATTGAGCACCTACACCATGTATCAGGGAAGCATTGCATGTTAGCCAAGTGGACACACAGTGGGATAAGTTCGGTGTTAGATATCTTCACAAAAACAGAAAGGGAGGTGGCCAAGCTGGAAAAAAACTTCCTAGGAGAGATGACCTCCAAATAAAGTCTTGAGGAATATATAAGAATTTATCTTTAATAAACTTTGAATTTATTCTAGTCTACGTTCTTCCTTCTAGACCTTCGTTTGCCAAGAATTTCTCCTTGGCAAGTTTTCTTCTTTCTTCTTTTCCTGAAGTAATTCTATGCCGTTGTGGTCATCCATGAGCATCAGAGTAGTAGATCAATCACATTTGAGTTTATACTGGGGAGAGGTAGGGAATAAAGATGCTAGGTAAATATACACAAGTAATAAAGTATTTTCAACAATTGGTATGTTATGAAACCTGAAATAAAATTAAATTGCTATCAATGGAACATTTAAATGCACAGGAAGAGTTAACATCTAATAACTATATTATGTGTAGCGAACTTGTTTATACCTGAAGCAAAGTAATAATACAGGCTTGATCCCTACCTTCTAAAAGTTTAAGTATTGAAGCAGAAATAGGATATATACCTATACAACATTTACATAAAATTCCAGGTAGTTTCTGCTCTTTCTCAGTACCTAGCACAGTGCTGGGCATGTGGGAGATTCTCAAACATTATGGAATAAATGAATGTATTCATGGGTGGTACAGGCTGCAAATGCTCTAAGGATTCAGAGAGATGACATTGTGGGCTGGAATAATAAGGGAAGATCTTAAACTGGATTTTGAGAAGGACTTGAGTTTGAATAGGTGAAGGATGGGTTAAAATGAACTTGGCATAATGAAGAGATAATGAACAGATTGGCTTTAAACAAGGGTAAGATAAAATCAGAAACTTTGGGTAGTGTCAGATTGTTGGCAAACTCTTTTGTTAGACACAAGTTTAAGGAAAGGGACTGTGTATCTTTCATATTCCTTGCACAAGGTCTGGCACATAGGATAGACTCAAATATTTGTTGACTACCTGACAGACACAGACAGACAGGCTGACTGATTGATTAGTGGAAAGCTTCAAAAGCTACCTCCAATATCTTTGTCTTCAGAAAATGACAAAATTGATGTTTAGGAACATTCAGTTGTAATTGGAGTACATTAGTAGAATGTCAGATGCAATGGAGGAAGATCAAATATGATAGGAGACTGAGAAAGAAATGAGCCAGCTGGGAATGAAAAGGAATGATGCTTTTAATAGTACTATGAAGAACAAATAGCTGGGAATTGGGTTTCCCTTCATTAACTCTGTCTAGGGTCAGGTTCCCTAGAAGCAGAGCCTGAGGTGGGGAGTTTTGTGCAAAAGACTTAGTGCGGGAATACTCTTAGGTGAAACCTAGAAGTGAGTGAGGAAGCAGCATACAGTAGAGGAAGAAGTTTGGCCAAGCCCTGTTTTGAGCTGAGGTCTAGCCCTAGTCTGGAATGGGAAACACACTACAGAGTGGGGAACACACCACCAGGAGTTGCCCCTCCTTGAGGCAAGGAGACTGGCTGTTGTGTCCCCCAGTCAGTCAGTCATTGGCTGTGGGCTGCACCTCTAGAGACGAGGGAAGAGGTCATCACTCACAGGCAGTTCCTGGCTAGGTGGCTGGTTCCTTTCAACCAAGGGTAGTTCTCAGGAGAAGGGTGCAGCTGTGAGGTGTTAGTGGCTGGGACTCATCGCAGTGGAACTTAGCCCAATGTAAAAGGAATATGAGGGGTGAGGGGTACCACCACAGTCTACACTTTGCCATAGTTTCTTCTTCATACAGTGCCCTACTGAGAACCGTTGGATAGCTTCCCGTCACTTCCAGAATAAAATCCAAACCCTGTGTCCTGGCCTCCACAATCTGGCCACTTTCTACATACAAATTTACTTTATCGACCTACAAACTTTATTTTTCTTTTGCAAACTCATTCTCACCTCAGAGACTTTGTGATTTTCACCTTCCCCCAGATTTTCATGACCAACTTCTCATCATAGAGGCCTTCCTACCCAGATGTCACCTCTTTAGAGAGGCTAAGTGGACGCACAATGGGGTCTGTAATCTGCACATGCTATTCTGTCCTGTTCACAGCTGCCACCCTGGTACATTGATGAGTGGGCACCAAACAAGTATCATTGAATTAATAAGCAATTGGCTGAAGAGATGTGAATACTAGGTAAAGATTCAAGATCTCTCTGAGACAGTGGATAGAAATAGGAAATGTGACGTGTGCATACATTTATGTGGAAAGATGTGAAATTTTGCTTTAGATATATTGAATTTGAGATAATGGCGGAAAATATATGGTAGAGACAGAATAGTATAGTGACTAGGGGCACGGTTTCTAGAATGAAATTCACAGTCCAGTGCAATCATGTACCAGCTGCAAGATCCCTGGGAAAATTATTGAACTTCTCTGTGCCTCAATTTTCTCACCTATAAATGAGAATATGATATTATCTACCCCATAAAATTGCTGAGAGCACTATGTGAATCAATGCCTATAAATTGTATAAAAGGGCATCTTGCTAATAGTAAGAATTATTTTAATGGAATTTAAGAGTTTTACATATAAAAGAGATAGTCAGAGCCAGGGCTGGGATCAGGGTGAGAGAGAAGCAGCTACGGGACAGAATTTAAGGAGGTGCTCACTCTAAGGGCTGTGTCCTTGCACCACCCTGAGCATGCACTCTTAAATGTTGCATTTTTGGCCCCTCACTTGCCTAACTATAATCCTGCCTCTATTCTAAGTAATCAAAGGGGGGAATCCTTTATTGGCAAGATTCTGTAAATCTGGGCACCAGTATCACCTCCTCCCTCTGGCCTTGGTTTCTTGCTGTTGCTAAACTCGGGGTTGCCTCACTGTCCATTGGTTGCTTCTTGGTCTTTTCCATCACATACTCAAGCACTTCTTTGCAGTTAGTCCTCTTGGCTCAAATGCTCTGGGTAGATTCTGTTTTCCTGGTTGGATCCTGACTGATGTAATGAGTAATAAACTCTAATGTTCCATACTAAGCATAGGATTTCAGGGACATGGGGGAAGAAGCAAACACTTACAAAGTAACTTCAATGTGTTAGGCACTTTAACCTATAAAATATTTAAGCTTCATCAGGTGGTGGAATGGTACTCACTTCAGGGGTGGGCAAACTTTTTGACTCGAGGGCCACAATGGGTTCTTAAACTGGACCGGAGGGCCGGAACAAAAGCATGGATGGAGTGTTTGTGTGAACTAATATAAATTCAAAGTAAACATCATTACATAAAAGGGTACGGTCTTTTTTTTTTTTTTTTAGTTTTATTCATTTCAAACGGGCCGGATCTGGCCCGCGGGCGGCTGCATGACTAGATACTCTGTAAATGAGAAATCAGAGATGCAGGATGGGATAACTCATCTAGGGTCACTAAGTAACAGAGCTGAGATTCAAACCTAATGTTAAGGCTTATAACCTTTCCACCATTCAAAGCATTTTGGAGGCATTCAGGTTATGGGCAAGCTCCTATTAAACTACAAGAATTTATTAACTTTTATTCTCCAGTGAGAGATTTTTAAATTTTATTTTCAGAGATACTATTAGTTTTCTGTAAAAATATGTTTTCTTGAAGGCTTAAGCATATCTATAATTTAGTTTAATTTATTCTGCAAGTTTGCTCATATTTCTGCCTATAGGATATGTCTGTATGCCTGTACGTGTGTGTGCGTATGTGTATGAGAGAAAGAAAAACATATTGAGAGAGAAATCAAGAAGGAGGTAGAGAGAGAAAGTGTTTTTGTTTTTTAAATATCTAATGTAGCCATTCTGGGACTTGGAAGATTATTTATAATGACTTGCTCATATTTCATATCAATACTAGTAGATTTTCTGTAAAATACTGCTTCTAGGTCAAAGAGGCCATGCTGTTTGCAAGGTGAATGACAATAGAGAAGTGTTAATTGGGAATGTGGGCGAACAAATGCAGCTATATTCAGTTACATGCAAATATATTTTGTTTCTCTCATTAGGACATATAAAGATCAGATAAAAGAGGGATCATTGCACCTCTGTATTTATGTGAAAATAAAACATTATCTAAAATAAATTGAATGCACAAGTAAAATACTCAGGTGAAAATTATTTATTTATGAAATGAAGCCTCTTGAAAAGAAAGGAATGCTGACAACAATTTAGTATGCAATACTACTGTTCTCACTCTTATATTTTCAAAGCTATACATAGTAATTTAGTTGCACTCCCATTAATATTAGTGGGAGTTTTGAAACTTAAATTTCTGCATACATCTTTGAAAATGAATAAGTCAAAGTAAACTGTTAATGCAAAACTGGTTTTCATTTTTAGTGAAATAGTTTGAATCTCTCACCAAAAATGTCCTAAAAGGCACCTTCATTCTAGTCACAAGGGAAGAATTACATATAAAGTTACTGTTTGGAGGTCATCATCTTTAAAGCAACATGGATAATAAATCATATTAAAGAGAAAAACTGTGTTTTCCCAACCCTAAAGAATACAAAAGTTCAGGACCCATGTTGTTGAATAGTAAGCAAAGGACCTTGGACCCTTTCAGCCCAGTGCATCTGATCAGTGATAGAGGCATGCTAAGGTGAATTTTAATTAGGACTAAATTGTGGTATTACTCTTTCATACCCTGAACATCTGTTCCCTTCAGAAATGATGATTTATGCAGGCTATCAGAGCAGACAGCTTGCTACAGCTTATGTCACGGTTAGTGGGAAGCTGGTGGTAGCATTTCAAAAAACCAGCATCTAAATGGAGACTGGCCAGTGTATATGATATAGGTAATAGGGGGAGGGGAATCATAATGTGTCCATTTTTAATTTTGAAGCCAAATATTGATTTAAAAAAATTCTCTTCTAGACCATCTGTTGTTAATGAAGAAAGTAACTTGGACAATGAATGGGCTGATGTTTCCTACTAAAGTCAAGAGACGGAAAACCAAGCCTGTTCTTTCTACTAGAATGAAGAAACTTACTGGGAAGACCTCAATCCGAATTCTGTTCTTTAGGAATGGCATGGGGCAAGATGGGCATGAGGTTATAGTGGGAAAGGAAACAATGAAAAAGGTAATTTTGTGTCAAATATTGAAGTATAAATTAAATTTTAAAGTTTTTATGGCATTTGAAATGTGTTTTTTCCTTGTAAATATCAGTGTCAACTAAAAAGGAAATATTAAGAAGGCATTATATATCATGCAAACATTCAGCTGTTTAACAAGAAGTATGCTTATTGTGTTAACAATATAAGTTACTTTGGTAAAGAAACAATATTTCAGGAAATTGTTTGGCTAGCATAGTTGGTAATTTACCTAGTAAAAGTTACGTTTACATTTGGTGAAACATTCTAGTTAAGTACAATATTTCATAGAATATTTAGATTGAAGCCAATCTAACCTAGCTTCAAAACTCAAATCTGCGCCTTTTCATTTAGTATAGAATTAAGACCTAGAAACACTCCTGGTCCTCGAGAGAATAAAGTACAAAATAACTAAGATTCAGTTAAAGTATTCATATACATTTTTAAAAGCAAATCTGATGGGCCTAAGTCAAATCCTGTTACAATCAAGCAAACTTTAAAAAACAAATTTTAAAGTATTACTTATTACATAAGTGCATGTTTTTTCAGAAAGTGCTCATACCTTCCAGATCATCTTTTATATTAAAAAAAAAATGGAGGAACTAATGGAAATTTGAAAAAAAAAAACCCAAACATGTTTTTTGCAGATATTTTCAACTAACCATAAAGCAGCTTAATAATAACAATAATAATATTATTAAATATATATTAGATATTAAAATATAATAAAACTGTCTAGGTTTTAATCTTCTCTTCATTATTCACTATCTATGAGACCTTGGACAACTAACCTTCCCTCAGCTTCAATTTCTTCATCTAAAAAATGGGATAATAATAATGAATACTTCATAGACTTGATATGAGGATTCAATGTGATATTATTTATGGACTACAATGCCTGGCACCCAGACAGTTCCCAATAAATATTTGTCACTTTTATATTTACGACTCATAAATACACATTTAATAGAAATTATTTTTCTTACTCATGGGAAAAAATTATTATGAAATCAAGATAGGTGTAAATCATTATGTTATTCCAAATTATTTTTAAAATAATTATTGCTTGAAACAGGTGAGTAGTGTCTTTTTCACTCACCTACTTATTTTTATGATTGTGTTATAACCACAATTGGGTAAGAACATTTTACTGAGAAGCTGGGAAACCAGGTTTTATTTCTTTCTTATCCACAGATTTGGATTATGAGTAAAACAAGGGATATTACACACCAGAGCAAATTGCAAAGGCAGATTGTAACATCTTCCCTGGAGATTTTAAAAAATAGAGAAGATGGACATATCTCTTGGATTGTTAAAATGCAGTCATTCTTGGAGATAGAAGCTCGTATAGATAACCTCTTGACTTCAGTTCAATCTCTGTAATTCTATGCCTTCATGGTAAAATTGGGGTAATGGTCACAGATTACATGTTCTTAGATGAAAGGTTGAGTGTAAATAAAAATGTCACTGCTATTTTGCTCTTTGGCTATAGAGAGCAATTTAGTTAAAACTGGATGATAAAGAAATTCTTCAGCTTCTTTTCCGTTTTACAATTTGTAGAGTTTAAAAAGTTGTTTCACTTTATAAAACACAGGGAATGAGTCAATAATAACTGTATCCTATATAATAAAAGGCTAATATGCAAATTGTCCCCATGGGTGGGAGTTCAACCAACTGGGAGTTAGACATGCGATGACCACCAGGGGGTGGCATGGAACATGGCGGGCATCAGCAATGTGGTGCTGGCAATGGGTGGCAGTGGAGGCACTGCCGGCCCTGATGGGCCCCAATGAGAGCGGGACCGCAGCGGGATGGTGGAGCAGGTGAGCTGGTGGTGCCAGGCCAAGGAGGGTGTGAGCGGGGGCCCCCCCGATCACCCCGCTGGTCGCCCCAAGGCCCGATCCCCACAGGCCACCTCGAGGGACCCCATCCATGCACGAATATGTGCACTGGGCCTCTAGTTTGTAAATATTTTTATAATTATCACTTTTAAAAATGAAGTAAAGGAGATAAGGTAACAGAATGTTGGTTTGAATGTCAATAGAACCTTTTGGAGGGGAAAAATAAGGGTAGCTAATTATTTGATAAATAAAAATTTAAATTTTTAAAGCTTTGTTGATAATCACAGGATAATGCCCTATTTATAGGTTTAATACCAAATCAATAATAGGAACAAGTTGGCATACTCATAGGAGAATCACAAATTATTTTCTCTTTATGACAACACACTAGTGGCCCGGTGCATGAAATTCGTGCATGGGGGGGTTCCCTCAGCCCAGCCAGCACCCTCTCCTGTGGGATCGGGTCTAAACCAGCAGCCGGACATTCCTCTCGCAATCTGGGACTGCTGGCTCCTAACCGCTCACCTGCCTGCCTGCCTGATCCCCCCCAGCTGCCTCTGCCTGCCTGATTGCCCCTAACCCAGGGGTGGGCAAACTTTTTGACTCGAGGGCCACAGTGGGTTCTTAAACTGGACCGGAGGGCCGGAACAAAAGCATGGATGGAGTGTTTGTGTGAACTAATATAAATTCAAAGTAAACATCATTACATAAAAGGGTACGGTCTTTTTTTTTTTTTTTTTTAGTTTTATTCATTTCAAACGGGCCGGATCTGGCCCGCGGGCCGTAGTTTGCCCACGGCTGCCCTAACCTCTCTGCCTGCCTGCCTGATCGCCCCCAACTGCCTCTGCCTGTCTGATAACCCCTAACTGCCCTCCCCTGCTGGCCTGATCTCTCCCCCAACTGCCCTCCCGTGCCGGCTTGGTTGCCCCCAACTGCCCTACCCTGCTGGCCTGATCTCCCCTAACTGCCTCTTCCTTGGCCTCCACCACCATCGCTTTGTCTGGAAGGAAGTCGGACGTCTGGAAGATGGCCGGTCAACCCAGTCTAATTAGCATATTACCCTTTTATTAGTATAGATAGATTATATCTATATTACTAGGATAGGATTGCTTAAATGGGGCGGGGGAGCCTTTTTCACGCATTAAGGAGATGCTCTTGGCAGACAAAAATACATAATCCCTATATCTGGACTGATAGCCAGCCATATGCACTATACTGCCAAACCAGTCATTAAAAAATGGAACCACTTTCTTACACCTTACATCAAACAGCTGTTGCCCTTAAAACCCCTCCTCAGCCTCCACCTTAGGTTCTGCCTTCGCAGTTCACCCATATTTGGTTCTGATTGGTTGGTTTCTATGCCAGTCAACGTCAAAAGCTTTGCCTCCTAGGCAACCATTGGCTCCTTGTAGTTCACCCAGATTTGGTTTCGATTGGTCAGTTTCTATGCCAGTAAGCATCTCCGGGCCTATCTTCAGGCCTAATCAGAGAGAAGGAGCTGATCAGCAGCCGCCCCAGGCTGCTGGCGATCAGGCTGAATTGCTGACCTATCGGAGAGAGAGCCTTGCCAGAAGCCTGAGGCTGCTGCTGATCAGCCCCTCCTCTCTCTCCTTCCAAGAGGTCAGCAGTTCAGCCCCCTCACCAGTACCCTCCTACCCAAACCTGCTGCGCACACAACCTGGTGTTCGGTCGAGGCTTCGGTCATTTTGGATGTTACAGACCCTGGCTCTTTATATATACACACACACACACACATATATATATTAAAGCAGTTTTTTTTAAGATAAAAAGATAATTCTAAAATCCTCTTCCTACCTCAATGGATTGTTTTGTCCAGTCTCAATGGGCTTGTACACCCTACTTTGTAAAACATAATTTCAATCTACTTGAGAATAGAATACTCCCTTTTTTGTCACCCGAAGGCAACATATACTTTTTGCAGGCAAAGGTCTGCAGTGTTTCCGAAAATATGGTCCACAGAACACCTGCACCAGAATAATCTGGACTCTGTGCTAAATATTCAGGCTGCTGGGCCCCACTCCAAGCCTATTGAATTAAGAATCTCTTGAGTGTGGGCCCTGAGAATTTGAACTTCAACAAATGTCTCCAGATGATTTCTAGCCCAGCTAAAGTTTGAGGACTCTTCTGGTGTTCTAAAAACTTCAAACTTACTAATTCATGGAAATCTCCATAGATTTCTTGTTTGTTCTCCTATATTACTACTGTGGTTTAAGAGAAAGAAAATAAATTGTATGACAGAGTAAACAGGTTACAGGAAATAAGATCACTGACTGCTAGATTAGAACTAGTGCATAGATTTGAGAAATCAGGAAGAGGAAAATATCTACAAGTAAGCAGGAAGGGAGTAGTCTAGGTGTAACAAGTCTGACTTAGAAAAAAATCCCCTTAATATTTGTATATAAGCATATTTCATTATAATAACTTTTTTTGGTTATTATTGAAAAACCACATAGTATTGATGGAATTACTCATGTATGGCTTTCAAGGTATAAATAAATAATAGACTTTTTCAGATGCCTTTAAACCAGAGGAAAATCTAGACAATAAATTTATAAGCACATAAAGAGATGCTCAACATTATTAATCATCAAAGAATGAAAATTAAATCCACACTGAATTGCCACTACATATATATTAAAATGGCTAAAATTAAAAAAGACTGGCAATACTAAATATTGTAAATCTGGATATTGTAAATATAGTAAATAGTGAAAATCTGGAGCTACTAGAAGTCTCACATATAGCTGATAAGAATGCAAAATGATACAGACACCTTACAAACCAGCGTGACAGTTTCTTATAAAGAAACATACACTTATCACACATTCTAGAAACTCTTTGCTAGGTACAGTATGTCTTCACTTAATGTCATTGACAGCTCCTGTGACTTTAGCGAACCGACATATACTGAAACTAATTTTACCATAGGCTAATTGATAAAAACTATAATTAAGTGCTTAGGGCATCTCCTCATTGTTATAATGTTGAACAAAATTATGTTATTCTAGGACCTGTTGTAATTACCCAAGAGAAATAATACATGCCAACACACAACTCCTATTCAGAGTGAATATTTAGAGTAGCTTTATTCATAATAGTCCCAAACTAGAAACAACCCAAAAATGTCCATCAGTAAAGTGAATGGATACACAAATTCGTACCAAAGAATACTCTGCAGCAATAAAAAGGAACAAATATTGTGATAATTGAAAGAAGCCAGATGTAGGATATTTCATGCTATATGATTCCATTTATATGAAACTATAGGACAGACAAACAGTGGTTGCCTGGGGACAGGGGTACTGAACTGTGATGGGAAAGAATATGAGGAATATTGGAGAGTAATGGAAATATTCTGTGTCTTGATTGTAGAGGTAGTTACACAGATAGATTTTCCTACCTGCATTGAATGGTGTACTTAAAATAGGTACAGTTTATTTCATGTAAATTATACATCAAAATAATAGATTTAAAAAGTAAACAAAAATAACAAAATTAGAATTGGAAAAATGTAAAAGTAATCTGGGCTATTTAATTATTCTTAAGAAGAGATCAGTTAAGTAAGTATAAAATATCCAAGAAGTGTGTATTAATAGATTATCTAGGAAATATCCTCTAGTTACCTACTTCTCATTCACATTTTAATAATAAAATGCCAGAACACCTACATTTCAAATTCACAAGAAATAATTGCTTTTACAAATCATAGTCAGGTTCATTACTAGTAAGAGCAAGTAACTAGATTTGCTGTACATTCTATCTTCTAGTTTTGTGAGATTAAGATAAATAACAGGCCAGTAAATATATCTCCAGGATTTATCCAGAAAAGTACCTTTAAGCTACTTAATAAGGTAAATATAAATTCAGCCCAATCTCCTGGCATTTTCAGGTTAAAACGACGATCATATTTTCTATTGTTAGTCATTTAAAAATGTTAGTCTTAGCAGAAAGTTATGCCAAGTACATTTTATTACATTCTAATTCTTTGAAAATTCATAATGTATTTGACAGTCTTTGTTAGCAAAAAAAATTTGTAAAAACAGATTTCCTTTCTCAAAATATAGATGATAAATTATAGTGAGCTTTTACTGGAGAACTATAATTAATTGCCAATGGTGAAATATTTTTAGTAATCCAATGAGTTAATTTCATAATTATCTATTCACTTTCAGTTTTCAGCTTGCTAAAGTTCTAAAATTCTTCTGTAGGTTCCTAATTCAGTGGTTTGCTTCTTGGGTTTATATAGTGAATACTGTTATATTTTCTGTACATTAAGTTGAATGTACAAAGCTGAAGCCTTGTAGGACAGGTTAGAGATTTTTGCTTCACCGCTCCTCTCTGCCTCCCCGCAACTCCCCTCTCCTCCACCAAAGAACAGTGAGAAATGTGTTTTTAGTTAGGAATGGAAGGAGAGGATAACTCCCAGAACTATAATCAAGTAGATTAAACTAAAGGGAGTTTGTGGAAAATCTCTTCCCAGGGGCTTGTCAAGAGAGCCTGGTTTTACAGCATGATGATTTTAACTTTCAGTATCTGCAGGGCTCTCTACAACGTAGACTGTAGAAATTAACAGAATGTGAATTTGTAAAAGTAATAGTTTAACAGTTACAGATTAGTGGAAATGCTATTTTATTTTTTTAGTATATTTTTATTGATTTCAGAGAGGAAGGGAGAGGGAGAGATAAAAACATCAATGGTGAGAGAGAATCATTGTTCAGCTGCCTTGTGCATGCCCCCAGGGATGGAGCCCGTAACCCAGGCATATACCCTTGACAAGAATCACACCTGCGACCCTTCAGTCCACAGGTTGAGGCTCTATCCACTGAGCCAAGCCGGCAAGGGCTGGAAATGCTATTTTAATTAACCTTAATATTACAGCAAGATGGCATTATTAACTTTCAATTGTTAAATATAAGAACAACCTTGCAAGTAGAGGTTTGATTCCAGGGCGTTTGACAGGAATTTATATTGATATTAATTCATACCACTAATAATTTACTGTGAGAAAATGACTATTGAAGTTTGACATTGTTTAAATGCTGCAAGGATCTTACATTCTGAAAGTGGGAGAGAATGACCTGGTGGCTGGTGCATTATTAATTTCTATTATCTGATTTCTAATGCCAATTTTCAAACTCATGTAACTCTTAAAACTTGGCTTGCACAAATATTTTTAAAAAATATATATTTTATTGATTTTTTACAGAGAGGAAGGGAGAGGGATAGAGAGTTAGAAACATTAATCAGCTGCCTCCTGCACACCCCCTACTGGGGATGTGCCCGTAACCAAGGTACATGCCCTAGACTGGAATCGAACCCGGGACCCCTCAGTCCTCAGGCCAACACTCTATCCACTGAGCCAAACCAGTTAGGGCTTGCACAAACATTTTTACTGGCATTTTTAAGCACAGTGAAAAGAGGAGTCTTTGGGTTAGAAAGCCATGTGATTTTACTTACTAATTTTTAAAAATAATTTTTAAATCATTGAGATTTTAAATAAAGCAAATTGGACAATCTTTAAATAGCTCATATTTTACTTAGTTTAACTGGTAAATGATAACTTTGGAGAATATTTAGATATCTGAACCTTCACTAGTAACAAGGGAATGTGATTTGTACAAAAGGGTTTTGTTGCACTTTTAAATAATAGATTTGTAAAATTAAGAGATTGCGAACTAAACACAAATATTGGAAAGGTCAGGAATGTGGGGAACCTAAAGAAGAGGCTGCATCTGTTTAGGGCCTATGGGACTAATTGTAGATCCAGGTGGAGCATTGATTTTTGAATATTTCCTTCGTAAATTAAAGGGTGCAAGATAATTCCTGTAAATTTGAAAAAAACAAACAAACAGCAGCAATACATAGTTTTTGAAGAATTGCCCCAAACTCTGGATTGCAGATATTGTGCAAGAAACACACAATCTGTTGAATGCCCATGGGAGTATGTGGCATGTGGGAACACTATTGGTCACGTGCAGGGTTTGAGAACATCTGATATAATTCAGTAAAGGCCAATTTGTCAAATTAAATTTGTCAGTTAAATATTTGCCACTTGAATGCAACACAGCACTTGAGGCAGCCACTGGATAAACCAGATCAGTCACAATCTTCGAAAGTTGTTCCCCAAACTGAAAAGAAAGTACAAATTTGCCTCAATATACACATTCGACTGTTTAAATATGCCCATTGTCACAAGGAAGATGAGTTTGTTTGGCAAGCACTAGGATTACGGGCTTCAATTTTAAAGTAGCAATTAAAGTGGGCAGAAATGGAGGGGAGTGGTATCAGCAATGGGAAGATGTTCTTTTTGCCATACAACCAATGAACATTGTCCTTCAGTAGTTCTTGGTTATGCAAAGCCAATAGTATAATGTAGGAATAAGCATGTCAAACTCGCAGCCTGCGGGCTGCATGTGGCCCACAACGAATATTTTTGTGGCCCAGCCAATATAACGGTATGTAAGAAACGTTTTAATAAAAATTTCGTAACTTAATTTTTACAATATCCTGTTATACGTAATTATCAATAACAAGCTACAACGTCCGCTAATGACTGATTACTATCACCGTGTTGCATTCATTTCCCTTACTCGCCTTACGCGCAGGCGCACCATTTCTCTCCACTAATACTAGCAGCAAATATTCTAGCAGCCGATTGCCACGTCATCAGTCTTGGACTGACTGGGTTGGTGTGCGCAACAGGAAATATTTCGCTTTCAAAGGACAAGAAAAATAGGTTTATTTGCGTTATGCTTATTAATTTGTGCAGTTATTCAGTGTCTGGTAAGTTAATGTTCAAGAAAAAACATTAATTTTTATTAAAATGTTCTATTATTTTAAGTTAATGATTACTCATTTATTTCAGCCCTTTGTATTCAGCATGCCTCCATCGAAATAAACGTACGTTTCTATGAAAGTTGAAGCTTTTGTTTTTTTTGCGGCCCACATAAACTTAAACCTTTTTTTTTTGCCCGTGTTAGCCTTTGCGTTTGACATGCTTGTTATAGGAATGAATAGTGAAAATGGAAGACAAGGTACTTTCAATTCGGATTTGGAATATATTATGTGCTTTTAAATGAATAGGACGAGTTTTATGTTTCGGGAGTCACTCTCAAAATCCTAATGAAACCTGCCCCAGGTTACCGGATACTTTCTTTCACCCTCTCTGTTACTTTAATTTTTCTCACTTATGAATAAAACTTTCTAACTTTTGCTTGTTTAACTTTTGCTTCCCTGATATTGGACAGATGATTGCCTCACCTTTACAAGGGCTACATGGAGACATTAAAATATTAAGGAAAAAGCTTGAGCAGATTAGAGACTATGAAAAGTGAGGTCCTTAAGACCCAGGCTCAGAAAACCTTGAAATGTGGTTTATTAATTCCATTTTTTAGTACCCGAACAACATAAATTACAAGCCGAACTGTGATAAAACTATATTTGTAATTTATTTTAGGACACTTGGAAAGAATTTACACTAAAGAGAGTACCTTAAAACCTAATTTAAAAAGTAATATTTTGTTCTTGTCAAATAAGTGGAAAATATAGAAAATAGTAAGAATAATAGAAAATCCCCCAGACTTTTTTCATTTATTAAATAATATGTAACAACTTTTTATTGCTGGCTGCATCTCCTTTCTCTTTTTTTAAATTAATATTTGTGTGTATTTTTAAAATACAGTTTTAATTCCCTTTTGATTTCATGTTGGAAACATTTTAAAAATCATTAAATTTCATTTTATGATATAATTGTTAATCGCCATGAGTATAGAAAGGACTCTAAATTTGTATTTAATTTAGCCAGAGTTCACTGTGATAAATTATTTATAGTTTTCTTTTTCCTGTGTAGGTTTTAGATACTTGCACAATGAGAATGAACCTAAATTCACCAGCCAGATATCTTTTTGATTTGTATGGCAGAAAAATTAAAGATATTTCAAAAGGTAGGTGGCAAAGATTTTGTAAACTAGATGCTAATGTTATGAAAGACATTTATATAATTTGTTTTTACTTTATACATTTAAAAGGAAAACAGATGTAATAAAACAGTTTAAGTATAACATGAATAATATGTCTTTCTTGTGCAAAGGGAAATCATGAAAGGGTATTAAGATTTTGGGAATCTTTTATTTTGGCATGTTTTAGTTCATTAGGGCTACTATAATAAAAATACCATAGACTGGGTAGCTTAAACAACAAACATTTATTTCTCACAGTTAAGGAGAACGGTACCAAGGTCAAGGTCTCAGTAGATTCAGCATCTGCTGAGGGGCCCGTTTCCTCATTCTTCTCACTGTGTCTTTATGTGGTGGAAGGGGCAAGGGTGACTTCTGGGGTCTCTTGTATAAGGACACTAATTCCATTCAGAAGGGCTTCAGCCTCATGACTTATTCACTTCCAAATACCATCTCATTGGGGATTAAGTTTTAATATATGGGGTGTGGGACACAAACATTCACTCCACAGCACAGACATATGTAACACAGGGAAACCTTTTTTCTTTTTTTAGGGGTGGGGGAGTATCATTATTAAAGTTGATTTCTTGTGGTTTTTTTGCATTTTTATCCCTTCCCTTCATCACGCTGGCTAAAATTTTCTTTGTGATCAACCATATTTTATAATTACTCTTAAACTTTCATTGATTAAATAAATAAATAAATAAATAAATAAATAAATAAAAATTTTGTTAAGACCCTATCTAGTTTGAATTATTACTAACTCACCCAAAATTTTAGATTTGAGTTCATTGCTAGAATTGAAACTATAAGAACCCTGGTTAAGATGAAAGATTTATATTTAGAAAGTTGATTTTTCCCCCTCTCCAAATGTGGTATAATAAAATTACTTACCCAAACAGAAAAATCTCTGACTCTGAGGCATGATACTTCATGGATGCCAGAGGCATTGGGATTCATGCCTCATGCTCCCGTGTCCCAGAAGTGTGATATTATCACATTTTAATGCATGCCTTGCCTTGTGTTTTTGCATACTTATAAAAGCTTATGCCAGCTGAAATTAGCCTATGCAGCTACTAACATGTGGAAGCATAACAAATTCACTGGACTTAAAATACTTAAAGAAGCTAATCCTTTTGGAGGAACTTCCAGTCTGTAGCACCCTAGTCACTTAACATTAGATTTTTGCATTTCTTTCTTCTTTGTTTGTTAGTATGATTTTGTGCATCAAATGATTGAGTTCCCTAAACTTTTATGTTTGATGGTTTTCTGAACTTCAACTTGGGAAAGGTCAAGTGTTAGATGAAAGTTATCTCTTAATTTAAATAAATAAATGCTAATACTCTGATTGGATGTATAACCTTTTTTATTTTTATTTTTTGCCTGCTTTGTTTTGGATCAGAAAAAGTCATTTAATAATGTGTAATATTAAGATCATAGCAATTACTTTTTATTTATAAGCATAGATTAGAAGTGTAATTGTATCAAGGACTAAAAGTAATGAATACACATAAAAAATTTTCTATCTGTTGCTTCTTTTTTGGAATTAGATATACTTGCAAGTTTCCTCATATACTATGAGAAATGAGCACAGTCGATATGATATTAAACTACTTCATTCTATCAAGTCTAGTAAAACCTTATACACTCCATAGGTTTCTAAATAGAAGATTTTAACAAAGAAATTTATTTTGTTACATGTGGAAAAGTTCTTTAGCTGTGGCTTCTTTATAGATCTATTCTTTCTATAGTAGAAGACAGCTACCATTAGTAAAGATGCCATATTACTATATATGGTTAGCATGCTGGTACAACATTTCTACTGGGACATAATATATGCATGAAGACTCCCACCAAAATAATAGGGTTATGGGAAAAATGGAGTTGAGGAAGACCATTCAAAACTTGTGCATCTTTGCCCTAGCCGGTTTGGCTCGGTGGATAGAGTGTTGGCCTATGGACTGGTCCCTGGTTCGATTCCAGTCAAGGGCACATGCCTAGGTTTTGGGCTTGACCCCCAGTGGGGGGCATGCAGGAGGCAGCCAATCAATGATTCTCTCTCATCATTAATATTTCTATCTCTCCCTCTTCCTTCCTCTCTGAAATCAATAAAAAATATATTAAAAAAACAAAACAAAACAAAAAACCTGTGCATCTTTAAAACCAGAATACTAACTAAAAATAATAATTATTAACTTAGGAGGTAATATAAACAGCCTGGGTTTAAACAGAGTGCTGCTTCAGAGGATATTAAAGCTGCACAGGAGCAATACTCGAGTGTGAGACAAGGCAGATGGAAATCTACTTGGAGGTTTGAGCCAGTGGGGCTTCCCTTAAGAAGTCACAGAGGAAGCCAAACTCCCACAGAGTCATGCAGGGCCAGGAGCGCACCTTTCCAGGAAGGGAACCCCAGAGCTGCATTCAAACAAAGGTCTTTCTTTCTTTCCTGCTAAAGTATAAAATTCTACTCCTACTCTCCTGGCCTCCTTTGCCAAAGAAAAGCACATATTCACCAACCAAATTTTCACTTAGTACTGACATCATTCCCCCATTTAGCAATCATATATGAGCTAATTGGTGTTATTTCAGCACAGTGACCATGGCAGAACACATATAGCTAATGTCAGATTTAGAAGGAGTTGTGTAATGACACTCTCCTTACCCCTAAGATCACCCCAAGTTTTGTTCACTTAACTTTGGCTTAATTATTAGGTATGGTGAACTTTTAGAGGCTGCTATTCCAATAACCAAACCCTGCTCCTTTGTGAATCCTTCTAGATCATGTTGGGCAATATGAAATTTACCCTAGAATATACTGAGTTAGAATAGCGCAGTAATTAAATTGGCTCCAAGGTCATGCTATTAAACACTGAACATTCATTTCTTATTCCATTTCCCACCCCCAAATATGCCCAGCAACAATATCCAAAATAGCTATATATTCTCTGACAACTTCTTCAGATCCTGCAATGAGATCAAATGACAGGATTAATGTGTTTCAATCACAAAATTTCAATAATATAGAGATACCCTGAATTTGAGTGTTAACTCTTGCCCATTTTCAATTTTTGTGTGAAGAAATTAAATTCCAAGAATAAAAATTTCCAAGAAATTAAAATATAAATTTTAAAAGTCTACACAGAAGTGAGTGAAAAAATCAAATAATCTTGCCTTTGTAAGTTAAAATCCAATAAAAGTTCAAACCCCGTAGGTTAAAATTCAAAGAAATGAAGTTCCTGTCTACTTTTTATTCTTCCCAGTGTCAGCCAGATGGTTTCTAGATGCCTGGTTTGAGCGGGAATTTCTCCAGTTGCTACTATCTGGGCTCCTGCTGTGGGTGTCATCCCTTGGGACCTCAGAAGTTGAGTTGGGTCTACACCAGCTTTATCATGTGCCCTACTTCCAACTGAACCGAAAGATAATCACAACATCAGAACCACACCCAGCACATTCAGAACAGCAATCCTCAGTTTCTAATGTGGCCATTCCTAGCAAAATGATGTTTCCAAAATCCTGTATTTGGCATGATCCAGACCCCTGGCACTATTGACAAAGACCATAGTAAAGACTAAGGGAAGGAAGGCAAAGAAGAGAAAACATTCTTTATGTCAGTCTTTTCAAGAAGCTAGTTGATTTATGCTGTTGAGCAGGGCCTATGACCTGTGACTGGGAAGCAATCTCCCACCAAGGCATTAATTATAGTACTATGTATTGATAACGTCTTGGGGGCACACTGTCTCCTCTCTCTAAGAGGCTGCCCAAAGTGTTGGTTGGTTAAGTGCTCTGGAGCCAGAGTTCATATTCCAGTTATGCCACTTATTGTCTGACCTTGGACAGATTAGTTTCTCTGAGAGTCAGTGTTCTCATCTGAAAATTAGAGATTATAGTACTTATCTTAATAGGTTGTTGTAAGGCCTAAATGAATTCTATGTGAAGTCCTTACAACAAGTGCCGGGTACTTGGTAAGCATTATAACATCGTTATTATTGCTGCTAATGTTATTATTATTTTAAAGAGGGCACTGAGAACGTTGCATCCTTGCGACTTTGGAAATTTACATTGGTGGCAGGCTGAGTCACAAAGGCTTGTTTGAGGTGCTGTTTTTTTCCTTCTGTAAAGTGTCCTAAACATCTTAATGTCCTTTCCCCTCTGACTCTGAGTTCCATGTTTCCAGACCCCGTGCTGAACTGGCAATGGGCCCTGTCTTGTGTGGCACAGCATCGCCACGTCCTGGGGGCACTGTTTTCAATCCTGGGTCACAGTGGCTGCTGTCACAGCCTGTGGTGAGAGAATTATTTAAGCCTAAGAAACATACTACACGGACTCAGCTTTCCCTTCTTCTCCACATCGGTTTCAATGGGAGAATAGCTTTCGGTGAATTTCTGAATTGCATTAGCTGTTCATGTTGTTGAGGCTCCTTTTCATAGGTGCCCAGTGAGGACCAATACTACTGCCATTTCCTCCTGAAGACATGGTTTTCCTCAGTTTTTGAATGCTCCTGGTCCTGAGTTAATGATTCTGTCTTTTTCTGCTACAGTCTGTAGGATTTGCCTCTACTGTACTCTTACTCATTTTAGGAAAGTTTCCTTCTCTGACAGGCTCAGGGCTGCATCATTTGCTGCAGTGGAGTTCTTTTTTTTTTTTTTTTCTTTTAATTTCCCTTTGCTTTCTGATCCACACTTGTGTTTTTCTAACATCTTCCTCTAGATATTTTTCTTGCCTGGTCTCTCATAGTGAGAGATATAAAGTCGATAAGTTCCAAGTTTGTCAATAGCATCCTTTGTTCAAACCAGTCTTATCCATTTTCACCTCCCCGAGTTAAATAATCATACCCAGGATGTATTTTCCCACCATCCAACATCTCATTTGATCTGGACTCTGATCTGTTATTGTTCTGCCTGGATCCCTGTAATATAATTCATCTCACCGTTGCCTTTTCTTAATCTTAGACCCATTCATTTTTGGAGTTCACTAAATACTTTTTCTTTTTAGTATTTTATGCCAATCTCCCTACTATCCCTTCTCCAATTTGTTCAGATTTTATGTGCATTTTGTATAATCATCCCACCCTCAAAAGAGATTGTCTAATTGATCTTATTTATCTGTAACAAAAATGCCACCTCTTGACAGTATTTGGGATTCTGGTTCCTCTGGGGGATTATTCTGAATTTGTTCTCCAAGATCTTATTTTTATTCCTGTTAGGTTTCACGGGGCCCCAGTTACTGTTTCTGATTTTGTAAGAATTAGAACATTTTCTCTTTTTGTAAGAGCCTCTTTAAGAGCAGTTAGAGTTGGGTGTGTCTCTTGCACCCTTATACCTGGTCCTCAAGACCCCAGTTTCTCTTTTTCATATCTGCCAGGCGTGTGTGCCAAGATCCAATATTTCTTTTTTCTATGGCAATCTCTCTCTTCCCCCAGCTAAATAAGCCTGTCTTTTATTTGTTTCCATGCATACACTGCTGTATTCTGATCATAAGATTGAAGAATATTTTATTTTATTCTTTAAACATTTTTAAAAATTATAGTTGATTTACAACGTTATGTGAGTTTTAGGTGTACAACAGTTATTCAGCATTTATATACCTAAGGAAGTGATCACTGCAATAAATCTAGTAACCACCGTCACCATATTATTACAATGCTATTGAGTATTTTCCCTACACTGTACACTCTCCTCCTGGATTATGAATTTTATCACTGGAAGTTTGTATCTCTTATTCCCCTTCACCTTTTTCACCCATGTCCCTCCTGGCAACCATCAATTTGTTCTCTGTATCTGTGTGTCTGTAAGATTGAAACGAATTTTTTAAAAATATATTTTATTGATTTTTTACAGAGAGGAAGGAAGAGAGAGAGAGAGTTAGAAACATCGATGAGAGAGAAACATCGATCAGCTGTCTCCTATACACCTCCTACTGGGGATGTGCCTGCAACCAAGGTACATGCCCTTAACGGGAATCAAGCCTGGGACCTTTCAGTCCGCATGAAACGAATTTTTAAACCACTTTACTTTTTTCTTGATTCCTTTAGCAAATCTTATTCCTAGATTTGTAATACTTCCATCAAAATTGTTTCTCTAACTTAACTGAAGAAGTCAGAGTATTCTTTTTTTTAAATATTTTATTGATTTTTTACAGAGAGGAAGGGAGAGGAATAGAGAGTTAGAAACATCCATGAGAGAGAAACATGGATCAGCTGCCTCCTGCACAGCCCCTACTGGGGATGTGCTCGCAACCAAGGTACATGCCCTTGACCGGAATCGAACCTGGGACCCTTTAGTCCACAGGCCGACGCTCTATCCACTGAACCAAACCGGTTAGGGCAGAGTATTCTTTTTATAATAAATCTGCCCCCTTTTTGTGGGTGAAGCTGAAGTGTGGGTTTCTGAAATTTAGAACCATGGTCAAAATTTATGTGATAAATTTAGAGCCAACTTGGGTTGGTAGAGGTCACTTTAAACGCTGTGGACAGGCTCTGTGAAGCTAAGGTTAGCTCATCTATAGTTTCTTTTTGGCCCAGAATGTAGTTTGAAATAACACAATGAAGGCTAGAATCTGAGGCAGGGGACCTGGTGCTGCCAATTGGCCTGGTATTGGCAATTTAAAGACAGAACCTCACTGCAGCACATGCAGAACTCAGCCGCCATTATACTTTAAAGTCTTGGCCTGCAGATTGGGCTACAAAACAGAAAAGCAGCAAATGTTGCACCTTCCAGTGCCTAAAATGATCTAATCTCAATCTCATACTTACCCTCAGTTCACTGCGTGGTTTAAGAGTAAGCTGTAGCAGCCTTCCCAGTAAGGCAAGCATGATCAGCTAGGGGTGCTAGGGCTTCCACTCTTCGGTATACTAAAGCCATCATCCACCCCTCCCTGGCTGGCACTTTCTGAAGGCCAAGGCTATTGGAAAACAATCCCAGCTGCATTTAGTTGCTTATGACCCATCATGCTTAAAATTCTACATAGCCGTTGCCTATTATAAAATTTCTGGCCAACCTTCCTATTTTCTGTGTACGACCCTTTGGCAATAAAAACACACAAAAACAAAACAAAACAAAAACCCAATGATAAAACTGTACATTTATCTGCATAATCTAATGTAAACTGCCAGACACCACCAAGGTTAAAAAGCAAACAAACATAAAACTCACAGGTCCTTGCTTTGTTTTGCTTGTTTGGGTTATTAAATGACATATTTCTCTACCACTTCTAAATGGAAACATTTAAAAACAAGGTCTCATAAATTTTATGGGACTTAACCAGGGAGGTTTGCAGACCCTAGATGTTTTCCTAGTTTGTTGCAGATACACCCATTTACCTGGGAAGAGGCACACAGATTTAGCAGTTTCTTCTAGAGGACAATAGGTGTTAGCCGCAGTCTATTGGGACCTGCTTCCCACTGGAAGAAATGACAGTTATATGCTGGTATTGGAGATCTCAAGACCCATGTAGGGAATTTTCCCAAGAGTTTCTCTCCATGCTCATTAAATATTCCTTTAATATGTAAATTACCCCATGTTGGGTCCCAGTGATTACTGTTTATTTTTCTAAGGGTTCACAAACCATTCATTTTATAATCTGTTCTAGAACTTTTCAGGGAAGAAGATCAAACTTATGGATAAATATCTTCTTTAAAATTAAGTATATTTACCTCCCTTGGGTCCCTTTCCCGTATAACTTTATTCCTCAAATTTTATGAAATGTGAAAAAGTGTCTCTTGCTGAAGAAGGATGCCAAGTGCTTGTGGTTATTAATCAGCCCTTAAATCTCTCTAGGACGAATTGCTATATACAAAGGCAGCCAGTTAAGAGTACGTTTGTGTAGAAAAGATGCTGTTCAGAGGTCTTCAGACCCTCCTTGAGTCTGTACTCCCTCTGACCTTGCCTTGGTTTCGGGCTTCCTGAGACATAGACTTCAGTGTCTCTTAGTGATTTCCAGGCATAAGACTTGAAGTACACTTGTTGCTTGGGCAGAAACAGAAAATGCTAAGTAATCAGTGATTTTTTATTTCTATCATTTGATCTATAGAGAATATTAAGGCTTTTGTTAAGGATTGATTCACAAAGATTTTTTTAGTGGTAGTTAGAGAATCCACTATAATTGGATCACTGTCATCTTTTATTAAATATATGAGTGCAGAATTGTGTGATATGAACATTCAGAGTCTAATCTGCTCACAAACTCTTTAATATCTGTTAGAAATTCCCTTTTGAAGTCTTTAAAACATAGATTCTCTTTTATATGCATGAAGCTATGCCTATCACTCCTAGGTTTTATTGGGTTACACTTGTTTCAGGTTTTATGTAATTAAAAAAAATCAAATCATTGCTTTTTTCTTCTTCTCCTCAAGTTTGTCTTATTACTTTCTGGTTTTTATATCTCAGTTTTTGAACTCTAATACCAAAAATTTTACTCTGATTCTAATGACTTCTCACTGGCTCTAGAAGTTAATTGTAAAAATCATTAAAATAAGCATAATTGCCAGTGAAAACAAATAACCTAAATGTTACTACCTGTTAATAAACATTAGTTATTACAAAGTTCTCCAGG